CGCGTCGAACCGACGCCCCGGACGCGGCCAGCGACGAGGCGAAGCAGCTCACGAAGGCACTGCATGAACATATTCAGAACATTAAAACTCGTGGACACTAGGATCGCTACTTTGAACAGCAGATTCGCGAAGGCTGGGCTCAGCCCGGCTGTTAGTCGATCCCGTCTCATCAGTCTTCACATGCGGACTGGGCGCCAGCACTTTCTGCACCCGAGCGCGACGGCAGCTTTGTTGCAACAGAATTGGGCGACACCTACTCGGTGAAGCTGCTGGGCGTCTCCGTCGAGCCGCGCGAACCGATCCGACTGTCACCTCGACCTGGCGGCGCACCGGCGGCCGCGGGAGTTTAAGACCGTCTTGCAGGCCATCAGGATTTCAATTATACGAGGCGACACGTATGGCGCGCGAAAAGGAGATGGCCTCCACCATGCTGGAGTTCACCTACAGCGATGTTTCTGATCATGATGAAACCTTGTTGCAAAGCAAACCTGGAGCTCGGACGGCCGGCAACGGTCTCCCGGCTGCGTTCGACCCCGTGGACTTCGAGAACCCCCCGACCCGACGAAGCGCAGGCTCAAGCTGGAGGCATTTCACTAAGCCCGCCAAGCTGTTCACGGACACTCGCGCGCTGGCCAGAGCCACTTCTCGCGCGCCGAGACGGGCGAGCACGAGCCAAACCTTCGCCTTCGGCAAGAAGGGTGATTCTCCATGCCCGCCTGGCGCGCGTCTTCCCCGTTGTTTCTGCCCGCGGTGCCGCGGCTTCCCTCGGCGCGCTGCGAATCGCGAGGAGCGGCCTCGCCTCGCGCCCGAATGGGCGCGCGGCGGCGCGCGAGAGCGACGACGGGAAGCCGCGCGCGTTCGTCGCGGAACGTTGCTTAGCGAGCACGCGCATGCAAAATCACATGGCTGGCGGAATCGCACGACCAGCGACCTGCGTTCCAGAGCGGTAAACTCGATGATTCTGCCGCACGAGCGGCGCAGAGGGAGGAGGACGAAGAGGAGGGCGACGAGAGGCGATGCGCTCGGCCTGAGGGTTATATTGAACGCGTGCGCCAACGTCGGCATGAAGCGGCGGTGAGAATACCCCAACAGAACTGCATGTGTTTCCACGCGGACAGTGGAGGTCGGAATGGGCGACAGCAACGACGCGGAGTTCCCCGCGCGGCATTATTGCGATGGCACCGCCGACTACATTGAATAGACACGTGCTTTGTCTAAGTGCATTCTTGCCAGTTGCAACATGTCCGGTGACATTGCGAACGTTGGCATTGGTCGGTGATTCGCTGAAGTTGATTGCGACCCCTCCCGCATCGACGCCAGGTGAGATTCGAGACATCACCAACCATGACGCCGAGCGCCTCGACGGGAGCGGGGAGACGACGGAGCGCGCGCAGGACTGCGCGGACGCCGAGATCATCACATTTGGTTCACGCCGCGGGGCCACGGATCAATCTACCACGGACAACCCCCTGGTCGGCAAGGCGACTCAGGAGGCCAAGCACCCAGGCGGCACTTTCTCCCCGACAGGCAGCAACGCAGCGGAGCGACGCGAGAAGATCACGGCCATCAGCAGAGCCTAGAACCAACCCCGTGGTTTCTGGCATTCTACGATTGGGCGGCGTCCGAGGCGAATGTTGTTCGGACGTTGCGTTCGCAGCGCTGCTGCGCCTGGTGAACAGGGCCACTTGCGCGCGGAAGCTGACTTCCAGGCTTTCGACCGCAGTCTGATCGGCAAGCCGCGATCGACGCGGGGGCTGGACACGCGCCGAGATCAACGGCGCACGCCTGTCGCTCGAACGCGCGGCGACATTGGCGACTGACGCCGATTACATCGGAGCCCACAGTTGAGGATGCGCTGGTGTCGAGAAACGATGGCCGGTATTCTTCGGCACTTGCACGTCTCGACTGGCATTTTCGTCGCGCTGGCGGCGGGGGGAACGGCCCATCACGCCACGCCCATGTCGGGCGGGATCGGCGCGACCTGCCGCGGGATCGACGTCCGCCCATGGGCGACGCAACTGGCCGATGACATCGGCGCCCTCCGCATCGCAGACCTGGCGGCCGAGCTCAGAGCAGTCTGGGCGCCTCGAAGCGTCCGCAGATTGATCGAGGGCGAGGGGGTCAAAGACGCGCCCGCGGCACTGGGCTTACGGACGCTCAGAGCCGTTCGCTCCTCTAAACAGCGGCGCCCAACGGCCCCTCCCGGGCAGATGACCCCGCGGGAGCACGAAATCGCGGGGGTCGGGGGCGCCAGGTTACACGAGCGCGAGATCACGATGGAGGGCGGGCCGAAATGCGGCTGCACCTTTGCGACGATCGCCGCTCCGAGGGCCCATCAGACACGCGGCAAGGGGCCTGGCCACGCGACGAGGAGCGCACCATCTCTGCTGACCGCGAACAACGAGCGCTTGCAGTGCGGGACTGTTTTTCGCGCAGCCGAGGTCACTGCTATCGGCGCGCGCAGGGGGGCTGGACGGCTCGCCGTTGCGCTCGTCTCAACGCGGCGCAAATGTGGCAGCGCAGACCACCAGATTAGCTGGAATGTCCGATCTGCAGAGCGCCTTGTCCCCCTCCATCTTCGCCCACTCGGCATCGCGCCCGTCGCCGCAGATCCGGCGGAGGGCCCTGGCGACGAGCAGCGCGGCAATTACGACGAGCAGCGAGTTGCGACCAGCCAGTGCACATGTGATGAGCCAGAAGACCCCCCCGGGAATGACGCCCGACGTCGTCGATCTCAAGGGGGGCCCTAGCTACGAGCGGCGCAGCAATTTGCGCGACAACACGAAGCCGATCATCATCAGAAGCACCTGCCGTCAGAGCAGCAATTACGACGAGCAGAGAATTGCGGTCCGCCGGCGCGAATATCACGAGCCAGCCGACGATCATATCTAGGGCAAAAACCGAGACGAGCGCGAGACCGACGCAGCAAGCAGCACCAGCTTCTTCTGCTACGACCCGTACGTTGGCCGCTGGTTCGCGCGAGGAGTTGAGGCGACGCCCGATTATGAATCTTCCCGGTCACCCATCTGCACTCTCTTGGACGCCTCGCGAATGGCGGCTGGTTGCTTCTCGCCCGAAGCCCACTCGCGCCCGCTCCACTTCGACAGCGGCGAGAGCGCCGAGACCGCGAGCTAACGCGTCCAGCCCAGCGGTGTCGAGAAGTGACAGCGAACTGGCGCCCCTGCAGGGCCCCCCCTCCCCTCGGGCCCGGGATTTCTGCGCCCGCGTCGGGGCAAGGGGGGGCGGAGAGAAGCCGCGGCGGCACCGGCTCCACGGCGGCCGAGGCGGGGGGGGCGACGCGACCCGGGCGACAAGGAAGAGCAGGGCCCCCAGGTAGAGAACACGAGCCTTAGGGAGCTCCTCGCGTTGATCCCCGAGGCGCTGCTCGACGACATTCTGAAGATCAGGTCGATAGAGGGCGCCGTCTTGGACGCGCTCGGCCTTCCGAAGAACCGCAAGTTCGCGCTCGCGACGCTGGAGGAGCAGGGGGCGCTCGCTCAGCGAGCGGGCGAGCACCGAACCCGGAAGCGCAAGAATCCCGACCCGCGGCCCCATCGGGCCCCCGCGCGCGCTGGCATTCGGAGCACCGCTGGGCGCGGCCGCCGACGCACCGGCGGCGGGAGGTCGGAACCATGGGGACATCAGAAAGTTCAAGGGCGACTTCAATCAAGAGAGGAAAAAACACACAGACACAATTAATCCTAGATTCCCCAGAAAATATGGGAAAATATGGGAATTGGGGGGGAAGACAAAAACCCAGAAAATATAGGAAAATATGGAGAATATTTTTATTTGTGTGTATTTATTTGTGTGTCCTGGGGCCCCTTCATTCAACACATGAGAGGACGCAGATGACGCGGAGCAGCTGGCCGGCGCGCGCAGGCCCGCGAAGACGGCCAAGGAGGACGAAACGGAGGTGATCATGGCCATCCAGAACCTGGGAGGACGCAGACGTTGCATCCCGACGGTTGGCAGCGCGCCGTCGGGGCGCATGGAGGAGGAGCTGCTGGAATTGACCGAGTGGCTTGCAAGACATCTCCAGGGGCACGCGAATGATTTGCCGAGCGTCTGATTTCTGATGCTGTCTGGTCACACCATCGTGTACATCTGCGCGACAGACTGCGTGAGATCGTCTGAGCACTTGCTCTTCGTTTGCTACGTGTGCTGCTGCGCGACTTTCTGCACGATTCCTGAGATAGTCTAGTGGGCTTTCCTTCGGCACGTGCGCTCCGATATGATTGGGCACTTGAAGCCGCACGTGGCATTTCACCTGATTCTTGAGATTGTCTACAGGATCTTCCTCGGTACGCTTGCTCCGACGTGACCTTCTTCACGATTCGTGGCATAATCTTCGTGTCTGGTACGTGGGCGCCAACGTGACAGTTTACGAGATTTTTGAGATAGTCTACGAAGGTGTCGTGCTCATGGTAGTGGCTTCGCCTCACCGCCGTGCTGGTTTAATCTGGGCCCGCGCCCTGGGTGAATGAGTCTGGATTGCAGTTCGGCGTCGTCGCGCCCCGTCGAGCGCGCGATGTGCGGTTCCCAGCTCTTTCTTGGTACTTGCACGTGCGCGGAGCGCACAGCGGCACACAAAGCTCACCGAGCAGGAAGAAGATTCTGGTGCTGTAGCTCCGAATATCCCGTCTCCCTGAGCCTCGACTCTGTTTTAAGAAACCATCAGCATCATCATCATTAGCATCATCAGCACCATTGTCTTCACCGCCATCCTCGTCCTTGTCATCCTCCTCATCATCGTAATCGTCATCACAATCCTCGTCATCACCGCCGTCGTCACCGACATGGTCATCGCCATCGCCATCGTCATCATCACCGCCACCATCATGGTTTTCATCGCCCCGTCCGCCACAATAATCCTCATCCTCTCCTCCGCCTCATCCTTTTCATTATCATTATATCATCGGCATGATCATCATCGTCATCATCATGAACGATTCGAGCAGTTGCCGCCGAAACTGCTGTGCCTGGCACGGCGGCTGGAGTGGCCCCCTTGACCTGACCACTCCATAAAGGGGCCTTGGGATTCGTTTCTCTTACCCAGGCAAGGCAAAGGAAAGAGAGAGAGAGAGAGGAGGGACGGGAGAGGAAGATGAAGGAGGATGACGGGTGAGGGGTGGGGCCAAGAGGGGGGAAGAGAAAAAGGTTTTTGTACAAGCAGGTCCTGGTGGGGTTATGACACCTCTTCAGTGTTTTCGTCATTGACCCAGGCCCCCATCGGCCCAAGCGTGCCCCCATCATTCCCAGCCCGCCCCCGGTCCCCGGGTGGGACAGGAGGTAGAAGGAGGAGGTGGAGGAGGAGGAGGGGGAAGAGAGAGGAGGAGGAGGAGGAGGAGGAGGAGGAGGAGGACGGCAGGACGAAGGCGTTGCCGAGGACAAAGACAATGACGAAAAACAGGAGGAGGAGGAGGAGAAGGAGGAGGAGGAGGATGAGGAGGGGGAGGTGGAGGATGGAGGAAGACGGAAGACCAGAGGATGAAGGCAGATCCCATCCACGCAACGCGTCCTCCATGATCAAACGTATCTTTTGTCGTTTCCGCGTGAAAGGTGCTTCAGACATTCCTGCCAACCTCGCCCACATCCCCGCATCCCTCAAGCCTGTCCGGGTCTCACCCCAGGGCGTCAAGTCCGTGCCGCAGTACCACATTTTCAAGGGTGGCGAGAAGGCGAGGTTGGGAACGATGTTGCCTCTCCATCTTGCGATCATCTGCACGAGCGAGATGATTTTCCTGTTGTGAGTACCGTTCTCCTCCGCTATCATGTTAAGGTTGTACCGATCATCATGAAACCTCCCCGCGCCTGACTGGCGCGGCGTTTCTCTGGCTGCCGCAGGGGACGCTGGCCAAATTTGTATGTCTTCATCATATGTACATATACGTATATGTGTATATGTATAGACCCTGAAGTCGCACAGGGCTGTGCTCGAAAAGCTGGCTTGACGTATGCTCGCGATGTTGGCAGGAAGCTGGCCCTGCTTGATCGGCCAACTATTCATTGGTCGCTCCTAGACTATAATCTATCCTTCTTCCTTCGACCATATGTAAGCACAAGCCGTCCGTCGGGCGAGGTTCCCTCTCGACCTTACAAAAGTGCCGCCCATCTTCGAAAAGGACGAGTGTTTACGCCGCTGGCGAGGCCTTCGCCCCTGCATGGCCATCGTCAGACCCCAGAGGGGCAGTTGAAAAGGGGCCTGGCAAATCTGCTGGGCCACCTTGGCGGTGGCCTCCCTGCAGGGGGGCCGGCCCCGAGGGGCCCAGAGAAATGCTTCCGCAGGGGCCCGCCATGGCTCGGACGTCCATGCCCCGTGCACTTGCCGATGTCGTGCGCACACTGTCTCGCAGGACGATCCTCGTAGAGGAAAGGGTGCACACGTCCGAGCGGTGCCGAGGGGGGCGGAGACGGGTCCTGAGGGAGACGTGTCCTGGACCCGGGGGCCCTCCCCGAGGACCAGCTCTGCCTCCTCCAAGGCAAAGCGTGCTGGCGGCATCGGTTGACTCAGGCCTGTTCCGGCAGCATGCGTCAACACTGGCCGGCTGCTGAACCATGTCGCAGCCGTTTAGATAAGTTTGTCAGGTGGGCGTTCAGGACATGCATTGGAATGTGATGCTGTTGTTGCAGATGACAGTCCCTTCTTGCGGTCGCGCTTCAGCGATTAATTTCGAGCATTTGGGGTGCGCCTTGGGCCGATCTCGGGCCGTCTCCTTGCCCGCTTGGGGAGGTCAGTTTGGGAAGAGTATTTGGGAGCATCTTGCGGCACACTGAGGCAAAGAAGGGCTTTCACAAGAAGGTGCCCAACGTTGTAGGAGTATCAAGAGATTACGGGAAGGCTTCTTGGAGGTCCCTTGAGTCCTTTTTAGGGGCTGATGGGACCCTGTTATGCTATCTTGGGGCGCATGGTGGGTATTGGCGCCATCTTGTATATCTATACTATATATATACATACACATACAGATACACATATATATACATATATATACATATATACGTATATGCATGTATACATATACATACATAAACACATGTTTATAATATATATATATATATACACACACACTTGGGACTCTTGGGGGCTTGACGGGCTCTGGGGCTGTGCAGGGTTCTGAGAAGCAGCCACAAGACTATGTAATCCCAGCCAGGCAGCACGGGATTGATGTCCCTCCCCGCCGATCTACAGGCACGGTGGTGGATAATCGCATGTTTGTGCACGCGTGAAGGGACATTCGCGGAAATATGCATTGGAGAGCGCATCGAACGCATCGCTTAACATTACAAGTAATTGCTTGTGGTTTTGTGTGTGCCGTGTTGTTTACCGAGTCGATCCTTGACCAGATGCAAATACTGTGCAGAGAATGCCACACCATCATATTTGTCACAATTGGCACCCTTACTTTCAGTTTGGCCGTGGAGGTGCAGCAAGTCTTGGGGGCAAAGTACGATGAACTAGTCGAAGCTCTGAAGACGCATACGGCACCAGGCGATACATAGAGACGTGCATCTGGCAGGCGGGGTATCTCTTTCTCCTGCTCCGTATGACGCATCATGATGTTGTTAGCTATTCGTTTACAGCGCTTCAATGCGCCTTTCGAGTGGCAGCCATGGTCGAGCCTTGCATACACGTCTATGTATATGTTCAATACTTTCACAGATCTAAAGATCCACCGATGATACACTCACACAGATGTATATACGTATATATATATATATATATGTATATATATATATTCATAGATATAAAGGTGGACTGTGCACCAAAAGCAGCAAATGGTGCAGTCGGGGTGCATTTTCCTGTGGGAAGCCGGGAAGCCGAAAACGCAGGGTCTTGGTGACACACATGAGCGCATTTTGGGCTGGATGCGTCGGGGGGGCCCTACTGGTTGCTTCGCGAGGAGCGAAGGGGGCCCGACACGCACCTACCATTGCAAGCGCGGTGGCGAACATACATATGTGTGTATAGATGAGATCCTCTGCATCAAGAGATGTGTGCATATATAGAAGTACACATACATATATGTTAGTACGTTTATACGTATACATATATATAGATATATGCATATGTACTAAGGATGTATTGTGCGCTGCGTACGCACGAACAAAAGGTGCAGGCAAGCATGCCGCCATGAAGGGTAATACGCAAGTGCGCACTGAGCACTGGCCCGATGACGTTTGCGCTGTATCATACGGTTGCCTGATTTATGGCGCAGGACAGTATCAAATAGCGTTACAAAGCGTAACACTAAATCATTGGAGACGCGGAGACGTTATTTCGCATCGTGCACGTTGCGTTGTATGTTGCGAGTTGATGTGGTTCTGGAGTGCTGTCATGTTGCGAATTGTAATGCAACGTAACTGGCCCAGCGCACGACAAGTCGCCCTGTCAGACCTCGAGACGATAGGGAAATGCAACGCCACACACTGACATATGTTACAAAGAATTGTTATCATGGACATGCGCGTTCGCCCACGTGAGCAAGCGCACAAGTTGGCTTATGCACCGCCGGTACAGGTGACATTCGTCTTGGGCGCTAGTTGGGATTCGCAGGGGTGTTGGACGATGCAACGGCAGGATGCAAGAGCATGCGGATCATGTGAAACAAAGGCGTCAAGCTAATGTGCACCCAATAGTCAGATAAATTGCGCATGGCGTGCTGTTCACTGGCCTGGCGTCCTTGGACAGTGAACGGACATAAATGTGATATTCAACACCTGCTTCCCAAGACTGAAGGTTGACTCACTTCTTTTGTCCACGCAAGCTTTGCCTACCAGCCCCGTCGCCCAACATATACTGTGGGAGGAAGCGCTGGCGGGGTCAAAGGTTCTACGTTGTCGTTCGCCCGCGACAGGAGCTTACGACCAGCGAGTTTCCATTGAGAACAGCAATGTCTGAGGATGTGGGGTTCATTGGCCCGACGTCGGGCTTTGCAGTTCGATGCCACTGCACGCTTGCCTAGCAGGATTTCGCCCGCGAATTTCCCATTCTCCAATAGTTTCCCGGCATCCCGTTTTATGCAATCTTGGGATGTTTTTTCAGTTGTCTTCGTCGGCACTCTTTCGTGGCAACACGATCGTGAGCGCGTACGAGCAAAAAGTGAAAATGGAAGAGGCTCTGTCTGCTGGGGCTCCCCATCAATTCTCTCTCTCTCTCTCTCTTTCTCTCTGTCCTCTCTCGTCTTGCTCCTGGGCTATTATGTGCCATGTTGCTTTTCCCTGCAGTTGTTCATGTCTTCCCTCCCCACTCCATTCCAACACACGAAGTTGGCATGCCGCCTGCAGCTGCTATTAATTAACGGGGCACGTGGCCAAGAATAGGTTTCCTGGCCGCGTGGCGGACATCGCAAAGGGATTGCAGCCAAACCGTGGTGATATCGTTCTGTGTTCGGGCGTCGCCGAGCATATTGTCAAATACACGCAACGTCGGCGGAACGGTTGGAGCCAGCTCCACGTTCCGAAACTGGCATCCGACGCTGGCGCGCCACCGAGTAGATCTTGTCAATTTTGGCTCGGCACGGCTCTCAACGCCATGATTTTGTTTGTGCTTTCTGATTCTGGCTCCCGTTCCAGCTCATATTTCCGACTCCGGAATGAGAAGCGATGTGTCAATTGATGTGGAACGGGATTCGAAACCGTCATATCCGGGGTGATACAAGGAGAAGGGTTGGAATCGCGAGGAGAGATACAAGTGCTTTGGCGTGCAGCTGGAAGTTTTGTCTCATGGCTTCGCAGATCCGTACTGTTCGCTAGGATGTAAACCGGTATTGCACGTGAAAGCTTGATTGAGAGTTGCCGAGGTTGGTGCTGCGCGCGTTGGCGTATTTCGAGAGACGTGTTTACCTGCCAGGGCGCGCCCATAGCCGGAAATGCCGTAGCCCCCGTCGCACAGATTCACACCCACCAATGTTTAGTCCGAATTCATTTCTTCCCTTCAGGAGCTGACCGAGGCCACGCCATCGGAAATTTCGACGGGTGAAATGCGGATGGGCGCCAATTGTTTTGAGTGATGCGGCAGAATTTCCAGCCAAGCAAGTTCACAGCAGGATGAGGAGAACGAGGAGGGATTACAGGATACAAAGATCTTCCGCCGTGCCGATTTGTTCTTGAGGTTTCTGATGCGCTAGGTTCCCATAAATTCGGAATCAAATGTTGCGCCAACTCAATGTGTTGCAAGCGGGCGAATTTTGATGCAGATGCGTTAGCATGGCCACGAAATAATTTGCAATATTTAAATGATACGTGCTTGATCTTGTTGTGTCATCGCGTACGGTTGGAACCCAACGGCCAAGTTTGTCCAAGATGGTCGTTTTGCCCATCCACAAGTCTTCTGCGTTCGTTCTGTGCGATCAGACGAATTGGCGGTTCTCTGCAGTGCTAGGGATCGAGGTTTTTTCGCCATGTCATGCCCAGCTTAGCCCGAGAACGACCGTGCGCGGGTCCGGCGCGTAACAGTGTTTTTGGGCTTCAGTATTGTCGGTGGGGTATTCTGGGGATGGTTGTTCAGCGAGCTTTGCTTGGACTTCAATATCGTTGGTGGGGTATTCTGGGGACGGTTGTTCAGCGATCTGTCGCGGCTGACACATACCTAGATCTTCCCCGACCCCAATGTGGAGCCCGAATGTCCATTACTGACGTCAACCATGTATTCCGTAATCCTGCCCCTCCTGGTTTCAATGACATTTTTTATGATTACAATATGTTTCGTGAGGTACGTCACGCAGTTTCGCGTTCTAATTAGTTCGGGCCTTCATGATACCATCTGAGGCGTCTTGGGCCATCTCGAAGCCCCCTCAGGCCGTCTTGGAGCCATCTTGGGCCGTCTGGATGCCTTATTGTGCTTGGCGCAGGCTTGGGCTCGGGCCATCTCGGAGGCCATCTTAGGCGTCTTGGGCCGTCTCGGAGGCCTCTGGGGCCGTCTTGGAGCCATCTTGCTGCCATCGTGGCTGGGCTCAGGCTCGGCTTCGGACCCTCGCGGGGCCATCGTGAGCGTCTTGGGCCGTCTTGGAGGCTTCATGAGGGGGGTTTAATCGGCTACAAGTAGGTAAACCGCATGAGGGTCGCCCGTCGTTCGTCCGTCGTGCGGCGCTCGTAGGTAAGTCGCCCAGGCCCGCGCCGTCGTTCGTCGCGGACATCACTTGTCCTGGGGGCGCGCCACTCGTCGTTCCTCGAAGTCAACCAGTCGTAGCGCGCGTCCTTTTGGACCCATCTTGGGCCGACTTGGTGCCATATTTGGTTGGGTTCGCGAGGCCGTCTTGGGCCCCTTGGGCCGTCTCGGAGGCCGCTTGGGCCGTCTTGGTGCCATACTGGGTCGTCTCGGGTCAGGCCAGGCTCAGGCTCGGGCTCCGGCCCTCGCGGGGCCACGTTAGGCGTCTTGGTCCATCTCGGAGGCCTCTCGGGCCGCCTTGAAACTCACGATTGGCTCGGCGACGCGGGGAGCCGCGTTGTCGTCGAGAGGCGTCGTGATGCTGGGGAGCTCCGCCCCCGTAGAATCATAGCATTGGTCTGCAGATCCGTTGGTACCACTTCTGGTGGGTTCACGCTATGGAAGAGTATTATAGACTTACTCCAGGGAAACAATGTGATCCACGAAGCTTCCACGCCAAAAAATCGGATCCTGACGAGTAACCTACTGGATCCACGAGACTCTTGCACATACGAAACGGAATCCATTGGGATCTATAAACACACTCGGTTGAATGACGAAGGAAACTACACCCCTTCTGCCCTTCAGCGCAGGGGCGGTGGAGGCACCACACACGCAGCATGCGAGGGTTGTGGAGGGTTGCTCGGGCCAGTGCCCTGGGATAGATTGTCGGGTTGGACGAAAAAGGGCCGATTGGGGGAGGGGGGGTGCGAAATCTGTGTAATGTCGCACGCACCTGGTTTCGGCCCCGCCAGGCGCCTTCCCGATGCATTATGATGCATTGGCGTCTCTGGTGCCAGGAGGCGTTGGGATAATCAGGTACGCGTTGAATTGTGAACCCCACCTCTGCTATCCCCCCCCTTCGTCCGCCCCGACCGACCCAGCGCCTGGGGCTTCCGACGAGCCTGTGTCGGCCTATGTTGCACCGCTTGCGTCGCCTGTCGGTGGACGAGCACACGTTGTCGCCACTACAGTCTTGGCATCGCTCGGACGTGTGCATTTTTCCTTCGGCGAGGACCATCGAGGAGCATCCTTGATCATTGGGCGAAAAAACCACGCACGAAACCGAAAAAACATAGGGAATGAACGTCCGAGCGATGGCGAACAGTCCGAATTCATGGTAAGGATGGTACTGTAGGTTAAGGTTGGTAGAGATGGTCAAGAATCGAGTCGTCGTGCTCTTGTAAGTTTATCAGGGTGACAAATGTTCGCGGGATATCCGTTAGGGCTTCGCCCCCTGCCGCCGACTACTTGTCTATCAGAATGGGATATATGAGAGTCGCGTCGGTGCCTTTCGGCGCTGCCTTGGCGCATCTGGGAACATCATGCGGGGGCGGATAGGAATCATCAGCGC